ATTAGATTTTTTTGTGGAATTTTCGGAAGCTTCTCTGATTTTTGCAGTTTGTATTTTTTAAATTGAAATCGTTGTGACAGCTACCAGAATTGCCTCCGCGATCTACCGGTAGCTCGCGATCGACAGGTTGGCGACCACTGGTTTAAACCATAGAGATACGGAGCTGGAGATTTTTATGCAGCACATATACACTTTGAGTCCTTCCATAACATTCACAATATTGAAAATAGTCCAAAAAGAATAGCACTTTGTAGACGTGATGTGGAAGAATACAGATAATAACTCAAGAATATCGGTATGACGAAAACTTCACGTGAATTAATTTGAAATACGAAGAGCTCTGTAACACGTAGGTGAGTCTGAATGAGAAACTGGGTCATAACAGCTACGATCTTCAGCAGAATTGTTACTCCATTCCTTACGTCATCGAACTGCCCAAGGGGCTGAGAATAATTGGGTCTGAGTACAACAATAGGACCTGTTCCAGATCCAGGAAAACCATCCATAGCAGACTCACAAAAACCAAGCTACCAAATGCGGATAGTGACTACTAGAATTGCTTTTACCACATCAGTGAAAGTTTGTATTGGCGATCACTTGGAAAATACCCATCTTCATCCAGTAAATCGAAAGAAACACTGGTTCAAAACTAATACAAAGGAGCTTCGTATATGTTGAACAATGACGCAATTAGTCATGCTAGTGTGGATTTTCGCAACGTATGAATAGCTCTGATCAAGCCAGAAAACAGATTATAATGCACTGAATCCGAAAACTAACAGGTGAAAGGGAAAAGCGCTCAGTTGATTTATTTATAATACTATGGGCTCGAAGTATTGGATATAAGTCAGTTATACCCAGAAACGATTGTGGATACTAACAGTTGAAAGGTTGTGAAGTAGTTCGATTTGAAATCTTTTTATTTTTGTGATTTTTTCATTTTTTTATGATTCTTTAAATATATTTATTTTTGTATGGTATTGCCAGTCTAATTGATTCTTTTCCATTTTTGGTTACAATAATTTGTTTTTCTTTCAAATTAGGGTTCTAGCTTACTTCATACGCAGTGTTTTTTCCAATTTTTTTATTTCATTTCCTATCTTCAACTAACTCATCAAATTATGTTGGTCCTAATATGTTTATTATTTTCATTATTTCATTAAATTTCTTTTTCTCGTCCTAGATTCCAAATTTGTCAAGATTGTTCTTAGACAATGACAACCTAAATTTTCAACATTTATCAAGAAACATAGACAATCACTTTTAAACATTTCATCTATTTCTGTAACAATAACTGAATAAACTGCAAACTGAATTTTGTTCTGTATTACCAGAATCCTAGTGTTGTATTTTCAGGGTTGGTCAACGGAAAAAACTTTGAAGCACTTAGAAAATGAAGCCATCAAGAACAAACTTTCAGACATGAAAAGATATAATAACTTCAAAAATATGACAATTGTACCACCCAACAAAGTAGTTAAAGTTGATACACGTAAGCAGTTTTTACCTGTCGGTAGAAATCGTAAACTCTCTCCTCTATTTGACGATAAGGATGAAGGAGTTGAGTTGGTAACTTTGCTGGCAAAGGACAGAAAATATCCTTATAGAATACCTTTATGTAGTTCCGATGTTACGTCAGAGAAGAAAATGGGGTAAATTACTATTAAACCTGATTTAATTTGATTTCATTTTGAATATTGTGTTTGGAGTCGAAATAGCTCTTTTTAAGTTAGTATTTGAATAAAAACATGGAAACTGATAGAGAAATGAACAAATGTGATCGTGTTATTCATTTTAATTCTAGAGGAACTTGCCTTTGGAATAGACAAGGCTCTGCCTACTTGAAGGATCTTGCTGCACAAATGATTCGTAAAAGACAACTGATGAAGGTAAGTATCGATAATAATGATGAAACAGAAGTTGAAAATAACTGTTCTATCACAATTACAAGCTTTTATTTAACTTTCTTTGTATGCATGTAACATGCTAAGAATTGCACGTGAAATCTCGTTAATTCTTAGCTCGCTCAAGTCTTAACTTCTGAGGGTTGTCATTCGTGGGGAAGCGACAGTTGTTTAACAGAAGAACATATTCAAACAGATTTTTTTCAACAGATATACTGATTATGGCATTTTGAGCCACTGATCCTCAAACGACTGATTTGAAATTTTGCATATGTGTTGAGTTTAGATGCCAATGCATGATTATGTATATATGCAATTTTACATCCAATATGGTGGACATTCCAAGATGACGGACTGTTTTTATACCCCCCATAATATGATTATCAAATGTAAGGGTTTTCTAAAAAATGACGAAAAATAACATGACGTCACTGTTAATCTAATTAAACGGACCATCATGGAGGAGTGATATTTATGCACCTCTATATTATGAGCATCAAATGAGAGGATTTGCTGATAAAATGAAAATTTGAAAGTCCTAATGTGTCCCATGAGCGCTCCAAAAGTTATTCGGGGTCAAAAGTAAAAATTTCAGGTTTTTAAAATTTTTTTCGAAAACCGTAAGTTTTATCAAAAAAACCGTAAGTTGTATAGTTGTATATCTCAAAATTCTCTACAAAAATGGTCTTCAGGATTTTTTCTATAAGTGTCACCGTTCCTGAGATCATTATCATATTCAAATACGATCAACGACAGCTTTTGATAAGTCATCATAACGATCTTTAGCTAATTTCAAAATAGATTCTTTGAATTTGAGTGTAGAAACTTTGTAAATTTTTTTTCGAAGACTCTGCGGTTTCTTTTTCTCAGCCTGTTCATCTGCTTCATCGCCACAAAATAAGCCTTTCTCTTCAACACTAAAGCTGGACTCACTTACTCGTGCTCTAGTACGAGGTGGACTTACTTTTGAAGTACTGTCCTGTTCATCTTCACGTTGTTATTCTGCTGCGGCAAATGAAGTTTCCCGGGTGTATGATTTTCGGCAATCCACGTGGATTGTAATGGACTTTAGACCTCTTAAATATTCAGTAAACTCATCACTTCTCGCATCACTTGCATCGATTGAAATTTGCATTCCACGATTAACCACAACAGTTTCACCTTCAGTCAAAAGCTTAGAGCAAATATTAATCACTAAAAACTCTTATAGTAGAGGCTTGTCATGAATACGTATATTCATTCGAACAGAACGTTTTACACTAAAAGAAGCAGACACATGAACGACGCCACATGGACAATAGAATAGGTAGCCAGATATTCAAGGCCATACGGATAGAGGGATTTTCGAAGGGACTGACGGTTCTGTAAATGTATATTTTCTGAATATCATATATGGTATATACATAAAAGAGACACAAACAGGGATTTTCACTTGCTTAAGTACCTGAATGCGTATATACATGGCTAATGTGTGCATATTACATAGAACGTGACTATTATAATTGCGATATCTCAGGAACGGTGATACTTACAGAAAAAATTGTGGAAGACGTTTTTGTAGAAAATTTTGAGATCTACAACTTTGATCTGGAGTATTTTTATGATAAATCTCACGGTTTTCGATAAAAACTCAAAAAACCTGAAATTTTGACCTTTGACCGTCAATTCAATATTGTATAATGACCGGACTATAACAGTGGAAGCTGCAGTGGAAGACAGACTCATATCGGCGGTCGATAACGAAGTTTGGCTTTGCAACTGGCTGCTGTGAAGAGTCTTGTATATCTTTGATATGGAAAGTTGTCTGACGAGTCCATAGAAAGCGTCTTCATGATTCATAATTAAGGCTTATCTGCGTCTTTTCAAAGCAAGTTGATGAAATCATTTTCAAAAATATATTTCACTGTTAATTCATCAAGCTAAGTTTGATGTCTAAATTGAAGAGATTTCTTGTGAGATTTTTTCCAGTCTATATCTGTAATGACCTTCTGTGGGTGATTCATATCAGAAAAACTAGCCTCATAGATTCATATATTTTGTTATCTCAAGTGGTAATTTTGACAATGATCTCGTAATTTCGACTTACGAATTCTCTATTTTAAGAAACATGAATATAAAATAAGATTCAGTGCTGTATAATGATTTTTGAAACTCAATAATAATTTTAGGAACTGCAAGACAAGGAATTTGACAGCAGTCGGCGCCACTTTTCAACATGGGATGGATTTTGGGGTAGACCAGGTCATGGAGCACCTTTGCCAGAAATCAGAAAACGTTGTTTAGATCAAATGCTATACCCGAAAATGGCACCGATTGGAGTTCATTAGTGGAAAATCTAGTCCAATTAATCAAAAGTTTTTGTAATTCCCATCACCAATAAATGATTTCGCATTCTTCTTTCAAATTATTCCTAGAATAGAAAAATTTAGAGATAGAAAAGTGCAGTTCGAAATCAATTTGGAACATGTTGATTTGAAGACGAAACTTGGTTACAGGCATCACTTCCAGTTTCTAGAGGAGGATTAGGGATTCGTTTAGGCACTTCACTCGCTTTGCCATCATTTCTGTCCTCATTTTGCAGTGTTTCCAATCTGATGAAAATAATCTTACAATACCCAAAGCCGATATCTGATTGTGTTTTCGTTCGGGGCATATCTCTTTGGGAATGTAGAACTGGCCAAACAATGAAAATTGAAGACATGAAAAACCAGAGGACATGGGATAAACCATTACTAGATCAAGCAACTGATATTTTACTGAAGACAGCTTCTGACACTCTGAAAAATAAGGCTCACTTCATCGCAGTTACTGTGAAAGAATCTGGTACTTGGTTAAATGCTGTTCCTGTAGCATCATTTGGGACTTTATTAGATGACGACTCTTTCAGACTTGCGATTGGATTTCAACTTGGTACACACAGTACAACACTTTTGTAAATGTGGTGCATTTGTGAATGAATCAGGTACTCATGGATTGAGCTGCTGTTTTAGCGCTGGTCGTTTATCTCGCCATTGTGCAATCTTACCAAAAGGGCTTTAAGTTCAGCACCCATAGGTACAAGTCGAAACGACGAAAAACCGCCCGGTGATATGACACTTGTTCAGTGGGACTACTTACAGAGGGTATTNATCTTCCTGATATTTCTGCGAAAACCGGTGCTACTGCCCCTTTAGGAGAAAGTTCCAAACTATGGAAATATCAGAATTTCGGAAATGATTATATCTTTTGCCTAGTAGCTTTTGGAACTTTTGGTGTTTTTTGGCTCCGAAGCCTTATCTTTCATCAATGAAATTGGAAAAAAGGTAACCAATGAAACCCACGGATCAAGAGCCACATCTTTTCTCATTCAAAAAACTAGTATAGCCATTCAAAGAATAAATGCGGCTTCGTTTTTGGTACTCTTCCTGATTCTAAAAAGCTTGATGAAATTTACATGTTTCTGAAAACCAACTTTATAAAGAAAAGAGGGGTGATAACAAACCACTTTGTGGATTTAAAATAGAAGCAAAAGAAAAAAATACTGTCTTTCAGCAAAATTCTGGAATGGTTCTCAAAGATATTTTGAATTGTCCAGTAATAAATTCTTCAGTCAAAACCTTTGGGCTACATGAGTTGAAAAATATTGGTAACACCTGTTTCATGAACAGCGTAATCCAATGTTTATCAAACACGAGATGGTTATTGGAATATTTGAAAAAGGACGACTTCATGAAAGATATCAATACTAGTATTTCTACTATATAGGGTGCTTCAATCAAAACATCAAGAAGTTGTGGTTAAAAGTTTCATTTGATATGAAGACGCTAATGTAATTAATGAGAAATCTAAATAAATCTTAACGGAGAAAAACCGACGTGTTCGAAATGCAAGGAAGGGAGAAAATGCACAAAGTTCCTATCAATCCCCGTATTCAAGTAATTTATTTGAAAATATTCTCTCCATCGGAAAGATTCAGAGGCAAATTGAATGATGTCATCGAATTTCCTCTAGAAGGATTGAATACGGACAATTTTGCAGCAGAAAATGTGGCTACTTGTTGTTATAATCTATATGCAGTTTTAAAACACAGTGGGACTACTTACAGAGGGTATTACACAGCATACTGCAGACACTCGTATACTGGCACGTGGCACAAATGCAACGATTCACACGTGTCACCAATTGCTTAAAAGTGGAGAAGCATACGTCCTCTTTCATGAAAATGATGGAACGAAATTGCACCTTTGAGATAACTGAGGGAATGTTTCTTCATGCTCTTATACCATTATATTTAATATATTCGATATTTATAGTCAGATATGTATTTGTATTTGTGTACCTGATAAGTTGAATTTATATTGTTTCATTATAGTTGTATACTTGAAGTTTTGAAAGTTTCACTTTATGTTGTTGTTTGGAAAAATATCATCTGTCAATATTTTTCAAAGCTGTATTTACAATAACAATTCGGTATAATTCCACAATATACGGCAGTACCATATTGATCATTCCTCAGTATATGATGTCAATCTTGAATTGTCTTATCAATAGCATAATCAATTTTCAATGTCAATAAATACTGTGTTGTTTTTTCTTTGAACTCCATATGTAGGATTCCCAAAATTTCTTACATCTACTCATAGATCGCGGCGAGATTCCATCACAACTGCTCAGGTATCATAAAAATCTAAAGTTTTGCTGCTGTACCGGCTGTAACTGGTTTCAAATTTTTGATGAATGAAAATGCATGATGGCCTTTCTAGGATCAGAATACTCCAGAGGTAAAATTAAAAATGTCCTCTTGTCTCGTTCGATTACAGGAGATCAGAATTAGCAAGATGTCGAGACGCAAGAATCCTAGCTTAGAAAATCGTATCAGGTTCGTTAATGTTTGCAACAAATCCAAATCAAGAATGAACAAAAGTGAATAACTGCCCAACCAGAGGATCGTGAATGAGTTATTTACTGAGAACTTTTCTGATCTCATCAGACATATCTGGAGAAAAAATATTTTGATGTATACTCATATCAATAGAAAAAGGGGAAAAAAGAAATGGATGTTGTTCAGAATGAAAAGCAGACATTTCTGAAAAATTACTTTTATTTTATTCATCTGTCTCAAGTCGAAGGTAACATCCTGTTAGGGCTCATAACAGTAAGCTAGCTTCACTTTTACACACCTAACATTGCTTATAGAGAAAGAACAGCTCATTGTACAACTTACCAGCTATAATACAATACAAATATACATATATTTCTCATGTAAATTCATCGTGAGTACCAATTTGAATTAGAATCATTTTGATCAAATCTAATTCGGAATATCTATTATTGTCCCCTTAATATTAACATTATTATTGATTTATTTTCCTTACAAATTATCGCCGTTCGTCGGAATTGCGTGCTAAAGTTCTATGCGATCTCGCTAAAAATATTGCATATACTTTTAAGGAATTCTTGGAAATTACTTTCTCTCTTAAAAATTAACATCCTGTTAAACTGGATTTCCGATTATTATTCTCGATAATCATGACCTATTATAATTGCCACTACTTGTACCTTTGTTGTTCTCATTTGGTTCCCTTATTTCAAAACAATTTTGATTCCTAGAAATTCATCTCCAGCAAGTTCATTTTTCAAGCAATCCTTTATTAAATACAAGGCCGAATCCGAAATTTAAATGTGCCTGTTTCGAATATTTGATTTTTTTTTTGTCCAAATATATCTTTCCAAATCAGATGAGGTCATACTTTATCCTTTTTCGAAAGGCACTTTATCGAAAATTCCAAATCACTATTCTGATGGAAAGAACATCTTCAGCATTCTCCATTTATGATGCAATATTCCATTTGGAAAACCTAAAAGAATTTGTGATGCACTGTTTCGAACCTTTGGTGTAGTAATGAATATTACTGGAGCTTTTTTTCAACACCAAATCGTTATTTTAACACTTCAACACGTGTTTCGATCACCAAGTGATCATCTTCAAGAGGAAGATCAAATAGTTTGATTTTCCTCTTGAAGATGATATCTTAGTGATCGAAACACGTGTCGCGAGGTGTTGAAACGGTTTGGTGTTGGGAAAAAACTCCAGTAATATTTGCCTAAAAGAATGATTGAGATTTCCATATACCTAACGCTTTGTAGCACCCTGTGTATTTATCAGTCAATTTGCTTTTGAATCAATTTTGGTCTTTCATATAGTACCCCTTATATTGTTTCGGTAGGTCTGATATACAGAAAATTCAATTTGAACCAGGACTTATAATTTTATATAGCTTGTACAAACCACATACTATGTATATATTTCAATATATGCAATATTTTCTAATCGACGTAGGCACTAGGTCTTTTAGCAAATTCTTCGTCATAGACGAAAACATCTACCGGGTGTTTATTTAGTTCTAAAATCTCAGTACAAATAAACATACACATTAAGCGATATGACATTAATAGCCTAGCACCTACTTTTTGGAAAATAAAACGGAGAAAATTTATCGCCTATGTCATATGGAAGTCCCCTTTCAAAATCCTAGTGAAAGTTTTCTTAAACTGCTGATTAGCCAAAGCGTAACAAAACGGATTCATGGGGCTATTGGCATAGCACAAGAAGTAAGAAAACATATAAATGTGACCATTTATACAGGGAGGTTCAGTACAAAACCCTTCAACTAGTGCGAAAATATGATATGGCGTCCAACAAACGACGAAAGCCCCCAAAATGAAGGATATCGTCCTGAGAGCTTTTCTCGCCCGGTTTTCAGACTTGGACTTTTGTCGGCCGAAGCCTAGAGGCCCAAGAGCTGTCTTCTTCCCCTTCAGTCTCTTCCCTATCGACTTGACGAACACCCTTTTGGTGTTGTCCGTAGAATCTGCTGTACAAAATCTCGCTTTACTGGAGTTACAAAAGTTGTTATCTGGATGGAAGGGGGGATTTTTACCTGTCTGGCTGATGGCTGATATGCCCCCACCGGGAGAACTTTCCTCCGTCTCCATGCCTTTCTGGTCTGCGTCATTAACCACCGAAGTGATCGGTCTGTTCGAACTAATCGTCACTTCGGTCTGCAGTTTCAGTTCACCCTGCAGGATATTCGGAGAGTTATTTGGGGGATGGTTTTCTAGGGTGGGGGAGGGTATCACAATTGAGCTTTCATCCATGAATCTGAGGTCTGCCCCGTCGAGGCCAAGCAACAGGTCGTAGGTTGATTGGGTTTTCAGTTTTAAGCTATTGGGTTTCTTACTATCTACAAAGGGTTGCAAGGTACTGTCGTAACTTTTGCTATTTACAATGAAGGGTTGGTCATACGAGGGTTTATCACCTACCACTGGAGGTTTTTGTTTGGGTCTGTCGACGGTTGGTGGATCTTTTTCCGCTATTCTCAGTAGGGTGGTTTTCTCTGGAATCGATCTAGTCTGTAATAAAACGTGGTTGTTTTTTGTAAGTTATGATAGCACTTGATGAACATTGATGTAAACAATATATTCACATTATTATTTCGAAAGAACACAAGCGAATATAACGAAGGAAACGGGAAACACTGGAAAATTTACAGAGGGGTTTGAGAAAAAAAATAAGATGTTATACTCACTATGAAATAGATTATAGAAACATATTGACAAAATCAAAAGAAAATATACAGGGTGTTTTCTAACTACTAAAAGTTATGATGAACANATCAGAACGACCATCTTATTATTATTATTATTATTTAGGCCGCCTCCCACAGCCTCAAAGGCTGAGGGATGAGACCCCCGATCTCGTCTCGATGGGCTCCGGTGACCGACTTTTTGTCCTCGCACAAAACTCTCAAGCCCTCGTGTCAGCATCGCTAGCCACCAAAAACCTCCTCTCAGCATTTCCATCCTTCCCAATCATTTGATCATCGGCAGGATGTAATATATACATTTGTTTAGTCTAGCCCAACTTGTACATGACCACAACGACGCTCAAAGGTCCGACAGTCATAAAGTAGTTCAAACGCTTTTTTATCTAGGAAAATATCGACACCGAAGAACCGGGTGATCAACCAAACCGTATTGAGGATATTCATGTTATTTTATAAATAATGTTTTTTTTAAACTTCAACGCCCTGTATTTCAGAAACGAAGCAACTCCGGACATATGTTCATGGAATCTATTTTTCTTAAATTGACCTAACAAATTATCCTCTGAAGTTTTGTACCGTAGTTAGGAAACACCCTGTATAATACGCTTCACAAACCAGAAGTGATCGTTTGTTAGAGTACTGAGAGAAAAATTATGGGACATATCAGAGAAAGGAAAAGTAAATAGTGAAATTATAATAATAATAGCAGTAATCAATCTTTATGTGTATTCTCACAATCAGAAAAAAATGAATATTATAATGTTGATCTTTTTTCAGATTGTAGAAAGTAAGAATTTCCGGAAAGATTCACAGAAAATCTCTGATTTCCTGTATAGAAAAGACTTTTTCAGAAAAGACTGTTGATCAGCATATCCATAGATGAGAGAAGAATTGGAATGTGCTACAAGCTCAGAATATTTTGAGGCCAAAAGTAACAAAGAAAAGCACACTAATTCAAGAGAAAGTTAAAGAACACTCTCATAATCAGAAACAACATAGTTTTCTGAACGCAGAGAAATTAATCAAAGAAAGTGAATTTCAGGAAACCTAAAGTATGAATATCGTGTGAGAACAGAATAGGTTTATCAAAAAACGTCACAATACGAGTATGTCAGATGTGTCTGATCAACAATTGTTTCAAAACCTATTATTCTACTTACTGTTACATCTGAATTCTGGACCATTCCTTTTGCCTGAGCTATATCACCATTAATTCTATTGCTGTTGCTGAACACATGAAGTGGAGCGCTAGACTGCATGACAATCCCTACTATGGAGGTCCTCTTTTTCGTCGCTAAGGTTTGAGATTTCTCTTTATCATTCACAGGTGCAGTGCTATCTTCATCTGATTCGAAGGCTGGACTGCTGGACCTCTCAGATTTATCAGCATCTTGAACCTGAAGCAAAACATAATACACTTTTTCGAAACCCATGATTAGAACAATCTGAACCAAATAATCTTCAGTAACTTGAATGATGTTCCTCATACATTGCTGACAGCCTTTCATTTTAGAAAATGCCTCACAATGAAAATTTCACCGAAAAATAAGGTATAAACGGTATGCAATGAACTTCTGCCATAACCATAAACACAAAGAAGTATTTATGATAATGTGAAGTTGAGGAATTGCTAGGTTTTCAGTCCGAAAAGAAAGAAACACAGCGATGTTGAATCTTGTGCAGAAGTTTCGATAATTTATACAGTGCAGACCTAAATAGCCCCTTTCCTCCCCACTTCACTTTCGAACTGGGCAAGGTGTTAGAGTTGGACCAAATTTTTGTGTGATATCTCGTTTTTTAGTGGAAAGGAGGATCTCTTAATATTTCGCATGAAAAGTGCTTCTATTCTCTATACAATGAACTTCAGTTTTTTACATTTTGGAGTGATTGATGTTTGAATTTGGGACCAAGNCAAAATTATTAACGAATGATTTCGCTACGGTTACTGCTTCTTTATTTGGTAGTGCAAATGCCTCCACAAATTTTGACAAGTCGCATTGTAATGTCAAAATATATTTATTGTTCTCAATGTCTTGTTCGATAGGTCCTACTAAATCTAAGGATATTTTCTCAAACGCGTATGATGCTGTTGTTGTTATATTCAGGGTTTTTATAAATGGTTTAGAGTGTTTGTATCTTTGGCAGTCATCGCAAATTTTTACAAATTTCACAGGTATTCTCTTTCAATCCCAAGACAATAAAATAAACTATTTTTGAACTCATTTCCAACTTTTTAAAATGTTTTCGTATTGTCGCAGGTTGCATAACAAAAACATTCAATTTGATATAACTCCAATGGATAAAATCAAAAGGAGTCAAATCCGGTGAACGAGCAGGCCATTTCAACGGACCTTGTTAGTAACAATTTCTTGAATCCGTAGGTGATTTTGAAGAATTTTCAAATATAGATCATCCATCAGACTTTCCTCTATAAATTTGGGACCAACAATATAATATTCATTTTGACAGAAATTTGAGCGTGACATTCTTGAAAATATATGTGTTTACGTCTGACCAATATTGCACATTTTGACGGTTAACATTTCTGTTTGATGAAAAAGTGCATTCGTTCCTGAAACGAATAATTTTTATGCAATTTCGACTCACAATCAAACATTCGAACATTAACTCACAACTTGAGTTTATAGGGGTCAAAGTTATGTCTTTTCAGGTACCTATTTATTGACGGTGGACTGCAGAGGGTTATCCACAACAGACACAACGCATTTTATCTATTTCTTGTCCCAGATGGATTTTTTCTAGCGACGAGTGATCTCACACAACTGGCGTTTTTAGCAAAAAGGTCTCAAAATTAATCTTTTTGATACTAATTTTGCCCGAATTTTTCAAAGATCACTGAAAACAAAGACATTTTTTCTGTGAGAAAGTTCTGAACGAAAAAAAAATGGTGTTCAATTAGCCAGCGTGAGTGGTCTGTATTACTCATTCAATCATCCGCCATGTAAACGTTTGTTCGATCCCACCGCACTGCCTATCGTCCAACCTATGCTGAGAATCGCACGTTGAGGTAAGATCTTGTTAATCCTTGCTTTGCAGAAGTTCCGCCTTCTGAAGGTTGTTGTTCCTCAGAAAGCACATTCTAGAAGATTTCTTTTGAAAACACATTCAGGATGGCTGTTTATCGTCCACTCTTCACGGTTTGTGACTTCAACTGTGAAGTTCAAAATTTTAATGTAAGGCAATTACGAAAAAGCTGTAGGGTTCGTGCAGATCGCACTAAGGTCGGTCTTTTTGAAATCTGAACATTTGGTATACCTACTCATATTCTCTCTCATTATATAGTTACAGAACTGAATTTTGATCTTAGTTAAAATGCTTTCCACTTACTATTCGCTTCTCAATAGATTGACAAAAAGTCTCTAATTTGTTTTTTTTTTCGTAACTTCATCTTACTCTACTGGGATGGTATTTTTCCCAGTCCAAGAGAAAATGAAAGTCCAAAGGTTTCAAATATGGAGTATAATATATAGAAAAATGACTCCATGGACAAAATTAAAACAACGTTCGAGAAAGTACTGAACAAAAAAAAATGGTGGTCGATTAGCCAGCGTGAGTGGTCTGTATTACTCATTCAATCATCCGCCATGTGAACGTTTGTTCGATCCCACCGCACTGCCTATCGTCCAACCTATGCTGAGAATAGTATGTTGAGGTAAGAACTTGTTAATCCTTGCTTTGCAGAAGTTCCGCCTTCTGGAGGTTGTTGTTCCTCAGAAAGCACATTTTAGAAGATTTCTTTTGAAAACACATTCAGGATAGCTGTTTATCGTCCACTCTTCACGGTTTGTGACTTTAACTGTGAAGTTTGAGTAAAAAGTGTCAATCCCTTATAACTCGGTGAATTTTGCAATCAGAATTTCAAATGTAATTGCCAAATAAACAAGTTTCTCCAACCTTGGTAGATTGTGATTGGTAGAAGCTTGTTTAGGCTACTATTTTTTTCAGTTCGCATGTATTTCATATGCTATGGGAAAAATATATCAAATAATTTGCATAAAATTTCGTGTGAACAATGAAGTTAAGAATTCAAAAACACTTGAACATATCGATAATGGCATATGGTGATTGTACTTTGAGTCAGAAAAATGTTTATAAGTGGCACAGAAGGCCAAAAAGATGTGAATGATGACGTTCGCCCTGGATGCCCTAGCACATCAACAACCAATGAAAATGTTGAGAAAGCAAAGAAAATTGTTATGGAGAATTGTCTAATCACTTTTAGGGAAGTTGCTGAGAATGGCGTATTGGCATAATGGTTGGCTCATGCCATGCAATTGAAGTTACAGGCCACTTGCGAGAAGCAATACTGTAACATCAACGGGTTCTCATATAGCTGAGACACCAGTGAAATATCAGTCTTTGGTAACCCTCTCGCTATTGCCGTGTTTGTTTTATTCGAATAAAAATTGGCAGCTGCTGTCACCAAATGCAGATTTCTCCATATCAAAATTTTAATGTCAGGCAATTACGAAAAATCTGTAGGGTTCGTGGAGATCGCACTAAGGTCGATCTTTTTGAAATCTGAACATTTGGTATACCTACTCATATTCTCTTTCATTATATGGTTACACAACTGAATTTTGATCTTAGTTGAAATGCTTTTCACTTACTATTCGCTTCTCAATAGATTGACAAAAAGTCTCTAATTTGTTTTTTTCGTAACTTCATCTTACTCTACGGTGATGATATTTTTCCCATTCCAAGAGAAAATGAAATTCCAAGATTTCAAATATGAAGTATAATAGGTAAAAACACTCCATGGACAAATTAATAAAAAAACAATGTATAGAATGTTGTTGAATTCTATGAAAAAAAAGAAGATAGAACAAATAATATGCCACCAATTCGACTGTGATATTTACTATTAATTTAACCTGTTGAACAACTACAAACGCATAAACTCAGTAAGAAATACTTTCAGTTTTACTTTTACTTTAANATATCATAGGCAAATATAAGGTCAAAACAAGAAAAAAACAATATATTCGGAGGATAACAGACTATATTCACAATACACATGAAAAAAAATTCAAATGAAGTGTTTTGTGTATAACCTTTTTGCAAATATGAAGTAAACTCAGACAAAATACTATGTGGACTTTCTCTCAATATCAACTGATTAGTAAAAAGAAACAAACACGCACATAACACCTCTTTGGTGGTTCAGAGTCAACTATAGATTCCGTTGACCTGATGTGTCTTTAACACTAACACTATTACTTTCAACTCCCCTGTAACCAATACCGGTTTACGATTTCACCACCAATTTTCCTTAAATTTCGCACCACGCGCTTAGAAACGGTATAACTTCCCTATTTAGGCCTCCGAACTCGTGTCGACGGGCTCCGGTGACCGACTTTTCTGTGTCTCTCGCAAAAAATCCCAAGTCCTCGTGTCAGCAACGCTAGCCACCAAAACCTCATCTCAGCGTTTTTAACTTTCCCAAGCGTATGATCATCGGCAGGATGTAATTTATACATTTGTTTAGTCTAGCCCAACTTGTACATGACCACAACGACGATCAAAGGTCCGACAGTCATAAAGTAGTTCAAACGCTTTTTTCATCTAGGAAAATATCGACACCGAAGAACCGGGTGATCAACCTCGATCTCTATGAATAAAATCATATTTTACGTTAATACTATCGCAATGTCAGTCATTACAATACTAAGACAACGTCTGGTATTATAGAAAAACAATTTATGGCTTTTGCTTCACGAAAATGCATTCGTCATTGCTTGTTCGTAATTTTTTGGCCATAAACAACAGAACTGCTTTGAGCGTTGGAAAAAATGCTGGCACAAGTATATTATAATTATAGAAGATTACTCTGAAAGAGACAAAATAAAAATCAACGAGTAAATACATATTTTTTGAGAAAACTGAAAATTCACCTCATTTTTTGAACAGAGTAGTATATAACCAATTTCCTGAAGCCAAAGCATCTCAGGCGACCCTATTCTGAAGGAAATTCAAGTAGTCAGATCAAACACTATTTCGGAAGAGAAATTGCCCCGTAAGGACAAATAAAACTACGCTATTCGCTCGATCTCACTGAATTTTTATACAATTTAGTATGCCATCGAGCAGTTTCATTTAAATTTTCATGAAATTCAAGTTTTGTGAGCTATTCGAACCGAGTTTATAAATTTATTCATTCTCTTCAACTAGGTACTTCACCTAATTTTGCCGAGGGTGAAAAATATTTTGTAGATTTATGTAACGGCTCAAGTATAGTATTTCGAAGTCATCTGTCTGTTTCTGTTTAAAATCTCTACAGGATGTTTCGCAAATTCTATTCCGCCACTCCTTACTTAACTCAGAATTCAATACCATCCAATATCCAACAAGTTGACAGACTAATATAGTGATTCCCGTTGACATGAAAAATACAAATTATTAAAAAAAATTGAATGAAACCAAAACTGTTATTAATACTAATATAAGAGGATGATTCAATTGCAACAACAGCCATAGAAAAAGCAAATTTACTAGCTGAATAATTTCCGTCCCACTCCACAGTCGATTTTCTGTGAACGGCACCACCCACTATTCCGAAACTAGAATCCACAATGCCAGAAATTACTTTTCTACAGCGTCTAGTCAGGTGAATTTTGAAACAATTTAATATCAACAAAGTGTCTGGCCCTAATGAGTTCCCGTCATCGTACAAGGAAATTTTTCCAAATAACTATAGACCAGTCGCTTTGCTATCAGTGATATAAAAATCATGGAGAAAGTCGTGAACGCCACCATATCCTCAAATATTTGGAAGGCTTCAACATCTTGAGCGATCAACAATATGGCTTTCGGAAACAAAGATCAACAGGTGACCTTCTATCGAATGTCACCCATATTTGGGAAAACGCAATCGAGAAACATGGAGAATCAAGAGCTGTTGCGCTTGATATTTCTAAGGCCATTGACCGTGTGTGGCATGATGCTACGCTGGCCAAACTTCGATACTATCGGATACTATCGAAGCTTGTCGGATCATTTCTGTTCATGACTCACCAGCTTCCTGAAAGAACGTTTCCTGCAAGTGGCCGTCGATGGACACCTCTCGAATATTTTCACCATCAATGCTGGTGTTCCTCAGGGTTCCATATTGTCTACAACCCTCTTTTTATTGTATTTTATTTTACTTATTGGAAAAAACCAAGAAACCAATATATTGTTCTGCTGTCGACAGCACATTTGTCCCGTTATTTCATTTGGATTTCAGGACATCGGCTACGGAGGCACATCCTCACCGGCAGCAGGAGGTTGCATCTCTTACTGAGGATCTAGAAGTGATTTCGAATTAGGGTGAAAGCAACCAACTTCAATTCGATGCCACAAAAACCTAAGCATCGGTTTTCTTCAAGAAGGTAAATGTTTCCGAACCGGATATAATAATGTCAGGTCAGACGTTTTCTGCTTCGATATGTTCTTTGGGGGTGAAAATGGACACCCATATGGGTGGAGCACTCTTCTGAACCAGAAACCTGTACACACCTCATCAACTGTTGAAGCTTTAAGAAGCTCAGATCAGACCTTCTTTGGAGTATTGTTCTCACGTATGGAGCTGCCCCCAAACATACCCTGAAGGTGGTGGATTCAATCCACTTGCAACCTCGATAGTCTGAAAAATCTAAGAAAGGTTGGAGATTTGTCTCTCTTCTATAGATACTTTCACGGGAGGTGTTCAAATGACTTGGCACATTAGATTCCACCAAGAGCAGTATATATCAGAAATGCACGATTAACTGTGGCTGCTCATAGTTTTGAGGTTCAACTCAGTACACCTTGAACTTCACTGTTTGAGAACTCTTTCATCTAGAGAACTGCGGAATAACGAATGTGGAATAAACTTCCTGAGAACGTTTTTCCAAATAGATTTAATCTCCAGGGATTCAAATCCAATGTGAATTGCTACTTTTGCACAGGCACCGCTTTGAGAGCGCCTCAAGGATTTTTCTGTAGTGTTTGTGTTTTGTCTTGGAAAAAATAAATATGATCCATTACAGTCGGGTGATTCAGACCACTATTCTTAGGGTACATTATTGTTTTTGAACTGATTTATACTGATTACTTCCTTTAGAGTTTTGCAGCGATGAAACGCTTCTTCTACAAAGCGGTAAAACTGAGAGCGAGGGAATTACCATCTACGTATCATTATTTTCGATTCATACGTGATTCTCATCAGAGCCTAGCTATCCATCATTCTCACAATTTCAATCACTGTCCTAGTCAAATTGATTCAAAGTGAATTCCTACAAAATTTCACAGATTTAATTTGATATTATGATTATGACAGTGACTAGACCCTAACTGTACTGAGACAACTCAAATGAATATTCATATTGAATAAAACTCACTAATATACAATGAAGGTATACAAGAGATTGAAATGAAAAACAATTTATTGCCACACTTCACTGATTCACAAAACCCCACGAAAATAAGACAATTCTTCAATTCAAACTCCACTTTGAATACCAACAATTTATATGGTAGGTATGGTATTCAGATATCTCAATATCTTTATCTCAATATCTTTAGAGCAATTTTATCAAAATCGAAAAGAATGCGCGATGTATCTTGCCGCGTCAACTAAGTCGGGTGACTCGGTTGTCAGCTCTGTGGTTTCATGTCAAGGCAAGATAGATTTCAACAATGGAGTTCTAGTTTTCATCGATATTTTTGGGTATTTTCATCTTTCACAATCTGACAAATATGATAATTGTAATGGGTAACTTCATACACGTGTAGAAAAGGCAAATTTCTAGTTCACCTCGGAAATTCGAAAAAATTTTGAAACATTCTTGAATTGAATAATTTCAAAATATTAAATTTTGAAATATTAACCTCTCCCAACTACCTACACAGTAGGGTCCTGTAAACATATGTCGGATAACAACGGCCCCGGCCAATACCACGCTGGATATTGAATTATATCCGACAGATATTGATTCACCCGAAAATCACTTATAGGTACACATTTATTTTGTACTTCAGACATTCGCTATCAAATTGAAAGAGTTCATAGGAACGTTACACAATATATGAAAGGGTACTGATATAAAATGTTATTTACATGGAGGACAATCAGATCATCTATGGTGTACTTCAAAGTTTTCAGACATTTGCTTTATAAGCACCGTTAAAGATAACATCAGAAGACGAATTCCTCATTCATTTCACAACATTTCGACTTTACGTCACCGGAAGAGATAACTCTGCTCTTGTTACTTTCTTTCCAAAGAAAGGGAGGAAGTAACAACCATAAAACCTCTATGAAAATGTGTACGCAGACATTTGTTTCAGTTGAAAACTGAAAGAAAGAAGCCCTTTCAAAACAACTACTTTCTTATGAACATTAAATCACACAAAAAGTCATATGCAAACAACTAATTTCGTATGAGGATTGACAAATCGCAAATTTCTAGACGAAATTTTTAATCCTTTATGAAGCCATTGCTTCTTTTGCAAGTAATGTACCTGTTTTTCTTTCGGCAGACACAGATTCTTTTTCTCACAAGACGTCGCTGTCGTCGTGGTTGTAGTAGTGGTGGTGGTACTGTTCGTGGTTGTACTGGAGTTGGAATCCGCAGAACCGCCCGCTTGGTAAGCCTCCAAGACGGTCAACGCATTATTTTCCAGCTGCTTCTCGTTCACTAGAGAAGCATTTGCCAGTGGAAGGGGCTTTTCTTGACTAGTTGAGCTATTTTGAGTTTTCGACAGGCCTATGCCTGCTGCCCTGCCCGCCATACCGCTCATGGCGCCGGCACTCAGTGCTACCATTGACTGCATCTTTCTCTGCTTTGCTTCGCTTTTTTTCTGCATGTCGAAAGCGGTTTTGTATATACCTGAAAAATATATAAGAAAATAATTGTATCCAACCCATATAATGATACTATCACCAAGTCGCATGAACAGTTGAAGTCGACGGTACGACTATCGATAACAAAAAAGTACCATAGGTTTTCACGGCCGGAAAAAGAACAAAATCCGGGCTGGTAGGTCGCGGTCGAATGTAACCTGAGGTACCAAACGTCACTTCTGCTACTGCGACAGACAACATCAGTGGTCTGTGCGCTGACTACGAGGACGGAGGTTATATTTCGAAGTCACATCAACGACTGACTGACGAGCTACGTGTTCACTCGTTTCAATGATTTCAAATGGTGGTGGGGGTGATGTGGGTATGTATGGGAGGAAAGGATAGCGGGGTGGCCAGGCAAATGCCCACTCCTGATTGGTCCGAACTCTTGCTGGGTCGTTGGTCCACACTGCTATTAGGTTGTTCTGGTTGGCCCATGTTTGTGACAGGTATGCTATTGGTGGGATGTTGATTGACAAGTTCCATTCAATCACAGCCTACCAGCGCAAGTTTTGTTATTTTTAATGAAGATTCATTTTTCAATGTCATTTCAATGTCAATGTCATGGTCTACATTGGTGAGAAAATTAGTAATACTGCTCAAACAAGATTTTTAAATATCATCCATAAATCCCTACGAACAAAATAGGTCTATATGCACGAGACTTATGTGAATTCGGATGAAGTTGGGTAATGCTAGAAAAATTGAGTAAGTTATACTCACTCGGCTACCTCATATTTGCCATAAAATTCTAGCCCTAGGTGTATCTGTGTATATACTATTTGAAGTCATTCTGAAGACAATTCAAATACTTCGAATCTGAGAGAAACATTTTATATTTATCGTTTACTGAAGTTTGTTGCTACTGCATACACCTACACCTTTACCTTGAAAAATATAATATCTGGATTTTGCAAATGTGTAATTTACCGAATCATTTCCAGTACATTCCATAAATAAGATTCCACAACTTTCACCATGATTGATAGATCAATGCAGAAAATGTAAGATGATTGTACTGAAAGAATGTTCTGATAGGGGAGACCGGGGATGGTTGACTAAAGGTCAACTGCTGACTAACTGCCAAAAACGCGAGCTACTCAAACGCCTTGCGTCGATCAACTAGGTGAGGGTATCCGTTATCCCCCCAGGCTCAGTCACCGAGAATACAGCGTTGCAGATGCATGTCGTTTGTCAGTGATAGCGTATTGTTGAAAAATAAGATGGGCAAGTAACTATTTTTGTCGTGATTTTATTTGTTATAATGCCTATACATTTTGTTGCCATTGCTTGTCAAATTATTTAAATCGAATGTGTGATTCCTGATCTTTATATGCTGGCTTATTATTTTCGTTTAAGACACTAATTTAAGGTTATGGTTATATGGTTATTGCAAGGTGGTTTGGGGTTGGTTGACTAATTTATAAAGGGGTTGGTTGACTACCTAGTCGACCTGCATATGAATTCGCAAAAAAAATAATAAATCTATCCCTGCATCATGGAATAGAAAAGAATATGCTCGAGCCACATCTTTCAACAAAAACAACATACAGTTGTTCTTTGACAACCTGAAAACAGTTCATCTACGTTTATACATATAAGCCCTGGTGATGTTTGAAACATAGATTGAACAGGACTGACAACGGAACACGTTCCTAACAGAGTGATAGCTCTTCGTGGTATTAACTTGGGATAAATGAGTAGCAGTTACTATCCCGGCACTCGGTAATAATGGTCCCTCCATTCATCGTTTTCCCACGTGTCCATTACAAAGAACACTTTATAAGAGGTGGACCGATAGGTTCTGATGGCGATGCTAATCCTTCTGGACAGATGAAGGAAGGTAATTTTCGAAAATTCACGAAATTTTTCGTGAAATACATTAAACGTAGTGAGGAAAATCTTATTCTGTTATTGTTGGACAACCATACCTCGCACTTATCCATTGATGTGCTAGATTATTTAAATGAAAATGGGGTTACAGTCCTATCATTTCCTCCTCACTGCAGTCATGAGCTGCAGTCGTTAGACAGGACAGTGTATGGGCCACTAAAGAAATATTTCAACCAAGCAACCGACAATTGGTTAGCGAGTCACCCAGGAAAGACAATCTATGACATACCTGAGTTGGTGAAACATCATTGCTACTGGGAGCTACAATTGATAATATCCAATCCAGATTCCGAGTAACTGGGATATCACCACTCAACGACTCAGAGTTTAGTGGATCACATGTGATTGACAGGCCCGCATCGGATGTGCCTACTGTTGCAGTACCTTCAGCATCGATTTCTGATAGTGCTGCACAATCAACAGATCAAATAAGACCACCAAATGACAGTAAGAGATATGGGCATTCCCAGAATTTTGTTCATTTTACTTGAAGATATTAGACCATTTCCAAAAGTTGGATCACGTGTGGAAAATAATAAAAAATGTTAGAAAACAAAGAAGTACTATCTATACTGATAAATCCAAAACAGAAAATCTAATGCAAGTTAAAACAAAACAACAATCTGATAAGACGCTAACCAAGAAAACTAAGAAACCAAATAAAACTGATAAAAGCTTTAAAGGCACTAGCATAGGTAAGGGTAAAAGGAAAAATACTCTTCATGCAGCAAATGAGAGAATTTGTGACGAAGATGAAAGTGACGACGATGAAACATTTTGTATAGAGTGCACTGAATCCTATAGTTCGAGTATTCCTGAAAAGGAATGGGTTCAGTGCATTGCTTGCAAGCTATCGGCCCATACAAAGTGTGTCAATAGAAACATACTACTTTATGAATGTAGAAATTGCATCTCCGATTCAGAAAAATAATTTACTATCATTATAATTTGATTTCCAAATGATAATCAAGGTTAGACAGCGTCTAATGGTATTTTTTCATTCCTATTCCTTCATAAATTTGGTACTCATTACTACTTAGGTCAACCTACCCCTAGTGACAAGTCAACTTACCCCAGGTACGGGGTAGGTTTAGTCGTTTTCCCCATTCTATAAAATCGAGCTTGTACACTATATTGTAATTAGCTGGGAGGTAATTGTCATTTTGTTCCGAAGCTCAATAGTGTCACTATCAATAGAATTGCTTTTCAGAAAAATAAACACTAAAACAATGAAAATACAAACATTTGAACTGAAAATTTTCCGGTGTCCCTTACCAAGAAGCTTTGTGTATATTCAACGAGCACGGAATTTAAAAAAAAAGATCAGTGTTGAAGAAGTGAAATGATGAAAAGATTAGTGTTGAAGTAATTCGCCAGTTTCCTAAGGATCCCAAAGAGAACTAAAAACAGTGAAACAACTAAATGATCAACGGAAATTTTAACAAATACAGGTGGAAAAACATTTCCGAAGCATAAACTTTCGAGAAGTTGAAAAAAAGAAGTAATTTCTTTCAGACAAAAATAGTGGCCAAGCGAAAATTGGTTGAGAGTAGTAGCAGTAAGGGAGTTGTGAATGATGTGTTTAGTTAGAGAAGTAATAATCTTTGTGAGAGTGGAATAGGTATATAGAACCTGAAAATGAAAGGTTCTTCTTAGTGGAATTTTCCACCAAAAAACAGTCTATCATTTTGTTGGCTGCATTACTGTTATTATCAACAACAAAGGATATAAAATTCACTTTTCGAAAAAATCTAACGAAACAAACATCCTTTTTTATCTAAAAAATGAACACATGGCTGACGTGAACCGTACAGACAAAGCAAAATTAGGGGAAAGCTAGATTTGAATCATTTCATACATTCGACGTAGACTTAACAAATATACAACAGCAAGTATTCAATTTTTTTCGAATATTTGTATACAAATCCATTTCAAAAAATTCTATTTTGAAAGAAACAAATATCGATTTTTCCCAGATAAGAAAAAATAATATACAATATAACTTATATTTTTGGGATTTTTCATGACCCCCCCTTGAGGGTTCAGATATTTAAGGTGAAATTCGATAGACTTTCGGATAAATTCGTAAGTTTGTGTGCCTCATTTGCCCTACTCAGGGCACATAATTTCACTTGCACTTGTAGGTGCGTGTAGTAATTGAAATGATACGCTCCGGTTATATAAAATCTACAAAATCGACTCACCTCCATACAAAATGAATAACACCACAAGCGTAGTCCAGTAGTAGGAGATGATCAGTGCAGTATTGAAGACAGGTTCTTTCAAAAACTGTACGGCACACTCTCCTGGTTGTAGATCTCTGTACCCCGTGAAATGTTCCCAACCGAAAATACTAATGAAGAAGAGCAAAGTGGGAATTATCCACGTGATGGTAACCATCCATATGACCCTCTGCTTTGTCCTCCAGCTCCGATATTTTGCCGCTATCTTCACTGAACAAAACCGGTCTATGGTGATCAGTAGAACTGTGTACTGGGAGACGAGACATACGGTATAGTCAACGGAAAGCCAAAGATCGCAGAGGAGAGGTCCCAAATTCCAGTATCCCATCAGGACGTAGACTGTGTAAAATGGCATCGAAACTGTTCCTGAAATGGAAGAATCGATGTTCATACTCCAGTTGACTCTTCTTCTGGAAAAACTAGTCCTAGATCTTCAATATAGGATATATTGTAGTTTCTGAATATGTTTCTGAATATTTGGGGAGTAGTTGAGGAATAATCAGCAGGTACTTATCTCAAATATCGATATTCAAGAACTCAAATTTGAACCTTGTTCTACTGACTTTCAATACCACAATCAGGGAAGTTACTCACCAATCAGCATATCGGTAGCAGCGAGAGACGCAATGAAGTAATTGCTGGGTTGTCTAATATTTCTGTCCACAATGAAAGCTAGTAAAACCAAAATATTGCCTGATACCGTGAGAATGATGCAGAGTCCTAAACTGATGGCGATCAGGATAGTCTGCCAGAGCTTGAATGGCGGCAAAACCTGTATCGGAGATTGATCTGAGCTATCAGTGACGGAGCCGTTCAACGTGTTTGTACCATTGACGATTCTGAAGCCTCCTATCCAGTCAGCAGAGCCGAAAAAGTTGAGGGGGTCTTCATCGTCCCAAGGTCGGTTTCGAATCGAGTCGAACGATTGGTAACATTCGGTCAGTGAGAGGAAGCCACTGTAGATGGTCTTGCAGTATTTTTCTCGCTTGTTGAGTTTCCTGAAAACGAGTGCCATTTTCAAACTTTGGTTTGGTAGGTAGAATTGAAATCTCTGCTACAGAATGAATTTTATGAAAACACTTTTCAACACTAGAACTGAAACTCTGTTTTGCAAGCGTTTTGGAAACCAAGTCAGCGCTATCAGGAGGCAATTGAAACTAAAACTAGTTTTAGTCATTTCCTGATGACGAAAACTTGGTAAGCAAAACACGGATAGCATTTCCTGATGATGTAAGTTCGGTTAGCAAAACACTCATCGAGAGACTGGTCTGTGCGGAGAAAGTGTTTTCATTTGATTCAAACATTTGTTTTTTTGCCAGGATTGAAAATTTTTAATATATCAATATTTTTAGGTACTAAGTATTCGATAACCTAAAGGTATGGAAATTCATGTTTAATTTTGGTCGGATAATACCTGGATATGATATACAACATATTAAAATCTGAACTTTGCATTCATTCTACTGAAAATGCACAAATACGAGAAATTGATTCACGGAAATTGAAAAGGTATTATCAAAAATGCAAGTAGTAAAGAGAATAGAATTAATTCGCCATTAGAAATTTCACAATTCCACTCTATGACATGACTGATCAGACCCAAGTACCAAACATAATGATAATATTAAGAGAAGGATCTCCTTATTATCTGTATCAACTCGACGTAGAGACCCAAAAAATGATACATTTCTATTGAAATTTGCATCCCAAATCGTCCGTTCTACGGTTGTACTTCCCCCGACAACAGGAAGGCCGTGGACTTTTGAATTTGGAGTGTTTACATGACAGAATGGTACTAGATATAGCCTGTGAAGTCGTCAGAAGTTTGGATCCCCTTCTATGCATGGTCCGTGACCATGAGAGAGCAGGAATTGGAGCATTTCTCTTTATGACAGCTGCCCGAGCAGCTGATGAACTCCGTTTAGTTTTCGACACCGCAGTCGAGTCATAGGTATAGAGGTTCCTGACACAAAGTGCAAGGCATGTCGCGAGGCGCCCGAGACCCTAATGCACTTGCTATCAGCATGTCCAACATATGCGGACTTGGCCTATATCCATTGACATAACGTGGCCTTAAAAGTGCTATATTACCATCTACGGCATTTTTTTGGTATTGACGAGACACCGGTGTTGCCCTACGCTTCGGGGGATATTGAATCCGTTGTGGGGAACGAGAAGTGCCGAATTTATTGGAACCATTCGTTCCCTCAGGCTCATACAAGCTAGTAAACCTGATGTAGTCCTTCTCGACCACCAGAGCAAGACGATATTTGTCGTGGAGTTTTCAGCTCCTGGCGAGACGAATATCGTCCGAAAAGAGGAGGAAAAACAGATAAGATATCGAGATTTCCTCTTCGAACTCAGCAGACTCTCCAGGCTACTCTGTAAAGATGGTTGTTCTGATTATTGGAGTCCTTGGTGGAATAATGTCCTCTCTACTCTCAAATCTTAAAATTACGGAACTCTATCACCAATATTTATAATTTTAATTTAGAGGCGAAAATAGCGCTAAAGGCGGGCGATGCTGACAGATAAGGACCTTCGAAAAATAAAATGTCATTATTAAGTCTCTTTTTCGGTTTATGAGTACTTCTTCTACTGTGCATATTCGATATACCAGCCATGACATACCATCAGAGTAACATATGCTTCTGGATTATGAATGCAACGTTTTTGTCTTATGGTACCTCCTAGTTGTCTGACTATAATAATTGAAGCTGCATAAAGAAAATAGTAGCTGAAAGTGATTTTCCATTCGGCGGGCGAATAAGCTTGGCTTAAAAAAGTTTTTGTATTCCGTAAAATCAACAACACCCATTTATTCACATGCCATTTTGAATCCAATAAGCTATCATTCATATTTAATGCTTCATATCTACTGAACACGGATTTCAACTTTTGAAAATTACTGAGGATACACTACAAAAACACACTTTTGTCTATTTTCCACAATATTTCTTTACTGTTGTCTAGTTTCGACTATTAAACCATTTTCAAAACTAATTGATTACATTTAAATCTGAGTAATTTATACCTAAGTTGCCTATCCTATCATAAATAATTTGGTACATACATTTTGTATACCTGTAATATCCAGGAACATAACAAAACAAAGCTTTTGATATAATGTAGGTTTTGGGAACTGGATTGTAGATTCAGAAGAGGACTATTATTTAGATCAAGTTGTTCGTTGAGGACAATAGAATGAGGATTTTTCTTTGACTTGTTTATTTCCATAGATTCCAACAGATTCATCATTTTTCCTTCCTTTTTATGTTTCAAATTTTGAAGATGTTCGTACATAATGAAATATCAACAAAAATCAATAATGAAAGAACTATATTCAATTTCCACAAGACCAGAACACAAATATGTGAGTATCAATTATGCCGGTAGAATCTCCGAGAATATTAAAAATTATCTCTCAAAATTCAATCTACAAACATCCTTCACATCCAACGGAAATTTAGGAAACAGATTATTTAATGCCAAACCTAAATTAGACAAAGGGAAGAGATCTGGTATATATCGACTAGAATGTGTTGAATGCCCCGCCATATATACAGGCCAAACTGGTAGACATTTTGATACAAGGTACCATGAACATGTCATTTCGGACAAAAAATCATCAATGTACGAACATCTTCAAAATTCGAAACGTAAAATAGATAAAGATAATTCAAAGATCCTTCATACATGCGAAAAAGGGAAAATGATGAATCTGTTGGAATCTATGGAAATAAACAAGTCAAAGAAAAATCCCAATTCTATTGTCCTCAACGAACAACTTGATCTAAATAATAGTCCTCTCCTGAATCTATAATCCAGTTCCCAAAACCTACATTATATCATAAGCTTTGTTTTATTATGTTCCTGGATTTCACAGGTACACAAAATGTAGGTACCAAATTATTTATGATAGGATAAGCAACTTAGGTATTAATTACTCAGATTTAAATGTAATCAGTTAGTTTTGAAAATGGTGTAATAGCCGAAACTAGTGAACAATAAAGAAATATCGTGGAAAATAGACAAAAGTGTTTTTGTAGTGTATCCTCAGTTAACATGAATTTCCACGAAATAAACAAGTCGTCAATCAAAGAAGTTTTGAAAATCACTATGTTCTGAGTTTTTCACTCAGGAGTTATTGACCAAATATTGAACGATATTTTTTTTCTCTACATTTGAGCATTACATTTTCAGCCCAACGAGCCAAACCAACTGTAACAAAGTTCATGTACAAGTCTACTGGAAAATATATTTCACTCGTACGAATATACGTTTTATGTCATATAACCTGAAATCGAAAATAGAAAAATACAACTTGAATACAACTTTTCGTAGTTTGTGACTCTTGATCCTCTTTTCTGTTCACTATCTATTTCGAACGCAGGCTGCCAATATTATTCGGTAGACATTACTGATTCAAAAGCCGTACACGTTTAATGCCACTTAATAATGGCGGTCGTTTGTTTTCAACTTAATACTCTCCAATACCTGCTTCGATATGTTTTGAAAGGATTTGTTGAAGTAATCCTCCATTATGCCATGTAGTTGATACATTATCGTTCGTTTCTAGATTTATTCGCGGAAGTTCATACCGAGACTAGCATTATACAGATCCAGACTACAAATACTGGTGAACAGGGTTATAGAATCTGTTACTTTTTGGTGGCATTTGGAGGCAACCAGCAAAGTGACCAAATGGATCTAATAAATAGTACCTACTGAATAGTCAAGTTTTCGTCATTCTAATTCGAATTGAAGATTTCATTGTAGAGTATCCTATAGGTATTGCTTTCGAAATTCGAACAGTTATGCCCTATATTTGACAAGCTATTGTGATTAAGTATGAGTTCTTGCTGATGATAGAAACAATGTTTTGCTCTCTTCTTCAAACTTTTGCTTGCACTGGAAACTTTTTATATACTCCGTAATTCTTCATATCCTATCCTTGCGTCAGTTCACATAATCATACAAATATTAGTATGTTAGATCAAGGAGTGCCACAGGGGTCAGTGCTTGGACCATTTATTTTTTGTTGTATGCAAATGAATATCTGAAAGATTGCCACATTACCATGTTTGCGGATGATACCACTATCACAGTTACGGGGGGAAATATTGATGTACTGCTTAGTAAGGTAAAATGCATAATCAATGGTTTTAGCTTCTAGTGTCAGCGAAACAGATTAATATTAAACTCTACAAAAACTGTAATACTACATTTTTATAAAAGGAAAATGTTCTTAATGATCTACAAGTTATTAACGAAATAAGTATTAGTAGCGAAGTAAAATTTTTAGGAACTTACTTGAATGAAAGCTTATCATGGGATCTGCAAATAAAAGATGTCTGCAACAAACTAAACAAGACATTCTTTGCTTTGAGTCAAATGAAATCATGCATGGACACAGCAGGTCTACTAGAAATCTATTTTGCTTCAGTAGATCACTTACAGACCGGTTTCGGGATATTATCTCTCAACAGTGCAGGAAAGATCCGACCCAAACAGCAAAGTGCTTGGGACTCAATTAATTTCAACGCGGCTCGCCTGCATCTATGAAACATTCATCTAAGAAAAAAGTTCTTATACGTATGTATAAGAATAACGTTATATAATATAACGTCGTTTGTTTGAAGGTGATTGACAATGTTTCGTGATGAATTTCACTAGTTCGGACTTCCATTGTCTACTATATAAAATGATTTGAAATCCCTGTAATTATTCTTTTTTACTTGTTTCAGGGATTTCAAATCATTTTATATAGTAGACAATGGAAGACCAAACTAGTGAAATTCATAATATAACGTGTCTTCAGACACGTTTTGATCTCAGTTGGAGTATTGATATATGGGATGTCACCTATAAAACGACCAACAAGACGTTAATCCCTCACCATTATCAAACTTATTTTCATAGAAAGCCGATTATTAATCCTCATTCATCTGCCTAGTATTTCTCCTTTACGCAGTCATTAGATTGGAAGTAATAATAATAATAATAATAAAAATC